TCCGTATGTAGCTTGGGAATGTTGGCCAAGTTGGGGCAGCTAGGTGGCACAGTGGATAGAGCATCGCCCCTGAAGTCAGGAGGACCTGAGTTCAAATCCAGCCTCAGACCAAACAGTTGACACTTAGTAGCTGTGTGACCCTGGGCAAGTCACTTAACCCCAATTGCCTAAAAATAGTTTTTTAAAAAATTAAGAATGTTGGCTGAGCCAGGGCAAACTTCAAACAGTACCCACAAATCACCTTGTTAAGATAAATTCAGTTGATGTAGAAGGCAACACTCTGGGACAAAAGGCTATATGAAAAGGAAAAAAAAACAGGCCATTGCTATAAAGGGGAGACAGAGCCTCCACAAGTCTACCTGGGTTGAGAGTGAACCATTTATTTAATTATTCTTACTAACTAGAGCCTAAAGTCAATTGTTCCCAAATTCTAAAAGTCAAGTAGGGTCAGTTCCCCTAAATTTCCAGGGAAAGTTGTCCCATGGTCTTATTATATCTCTAGCTATCAGAGTTTGTTGGAGTCAAAACCTTCTCCAGAGTGACTCCTTCCACTGCCTTATCACCCAAACTGGGATACATCAGGCACATTCTTATTAACAGGCAGAGGCAGAGGATGCTAGTTGATGTGGTTTCAAGGTCTCCAGGAAAACCTCTCTGGCCAAAAAGAAAAAAAAAAGCCTTGCCCATCTATCTTCATGTGCTTAAATTTCCAAAATTATATTTATGCTTTTGCTTAAAAATTTATGTTCCCCCCATTAAAATAAAAACATCCCCAGGAGGGGTAAGACCTCATGCCTTAGAAACAATGGAAAGGACAAACTACGTGGCACAGTGGATAGAGCACAGGCCCTGCAGATAAAAGGACCCAAGTTCAAATCTGGATTCAGATACTTACTAGCTGTATGACCCTAGGCAAGTCACTTAACCCCACTTGACTCCTAAAAAAAGAAAAGAAAAAGTAACAGTAGAAGCTTCGTGTGAAGGTGTATCATATTCTTTCCCGAGAGCAGGTAAAAATGGAATGGTGTGAATGAACAGTGCATACCAGGGATCATGTAGAGGCTAACAGGACACAAGAAAGGGAAAGCTGGAGACCTACCTCAGTTTCTCCTTGGGCTAAGCTGGGGAGTACGCGCTAGCTGGTGCAATCCACAATAAGTGTCTGTCAAATATGGGGGCAGAACTAGACAAAGATCTGTATACTACCAAAAATTCTCACCATCACTTTATTCCTTTGGGTTAAAGACTCCTTGTTAAAATGCATACATATATCCTGGAGGATGGAGGGGGGTGTGAAACACCTTCTTCTGAGAGAGAAACCATGGACCACCTGTAATACTCCCTGAAAGTACTGGATTCAAGTCTCAGCTCAGTCCTGACAAAGTAACCTTGCAAAAGTCACCGGGTTGTGTTTTTTTTTTAATCCTCTTATACTATGAGCCTGACTGAGCATTTTGAAGAGGAGGGATTAGGATATATAGCATACAATAGAATAAACATTTATTAAGTGCCTACTCCATGCCAGGCACTTTGCTAGGCTCTAGGCATTAAAAATAAGAAAAAGATAATCCCTGGCCTCAAGGACCTTACTGAGGAAAACAATACAGAAAAGGATGTGAAAAAGTGAGGGGATGGGAACATCCCAGAGAATGTCCCAGGGCAGGGGCATGAGGAAGATGGTGGTAGAGTCAAAGCAAGCAGAGAAGCAGGTGCCAAATAGAAAGCAGGCTGAAATTTTGAGCAGTCTATAAAGGGAGGCTATGGGTTGGGGGGGGGAGTTTTTTGCTCAGTCATCTAATCAGAGAGGTGGAAGCAACTGAGATAGGTATTGATGAGGTGTGAGGAGCCAAGCTGAATCAATCTCCGTGATGATAAGGTTAAGTTTATCCTGGCCAGGGCGTAATGAAGATAATGAAGGTTCTGTAGAGAGGTTATGCTGATAGTGGGAGAAGAGAATGGAATAAATGAATGAAAAAATATTTAATAAGTGCTAATTATGTGCTAAACACTGAGTACAAATACAGAAGTGATACCATCCCTACTTCCAGGAACTTATTTTACAATGAGAGGAGGAGTGGTCAGGAAAGGCTGCTTTGTTCTGGTAAGTCACAGGGAGGTTGAGTGTGGCACTGGGGCAGTCCACTGATACACCCTTTCTAGAGGCAATAGTAGTGTTGATTTCTAGTTCTCAGAGCAAAAAATAAAAAGTGGATGGAAGGGTATGGTGGCAGTGAAGAAAATGGCCTGGAGTGGACAGGAGGGGGAGCAAAACAATAAGGCAATAAGCATTTATACAGCAGGTGCTGTGCTAAGCACTTTTTCCAAATATTGTTTCATTTGCTCCTCACAACAACACTGCAAGGTAGGGGTTTTATTCTCATTTTACAGTTGAGGAAACGGAAGGACAGAGAGGAAACATGACGCTAGATTTGAACTCAGGATTTCCTGACTCCAGAAAAGAGCTCTATCTCCTATTTCACCTGGATAAGGACACAGGATCTCAAGGAGTACAGAGCTTAGTGGCTAAGTTCCTCCTGGGCATGGTCTCTGCACCTCTAAATTGGGGGCTGGAGCAATAGAAGCAACAGAATGAGCACTGGCCCTGGAGTCAGGAGGACCTGAGTTCAAATCTGACCTCAGACACTGTTTACTAGCTGTGTGACCCTGGACAAGTCACTTAACCCCATTGCCTAGCAAAAACAAACAAAAAAGAAAAAAACTAAGAAGCAACAGAATGAAAACATGGCCCAAGTATGCAAGAAAAAGGGAGTAGAGAGGGTCAGTTTAACTCTAACAACGGTCGATCACTTGCATCTATTCCAGCTCGAATATCTTTCATTAAATTCCAACTCTACTCTCATATCTCATGGTAACTAACCTGGGAACTCTCAAATTATAGTCGTAGAGCATCATAAACTTTCCCAAGCCATCTTCAAGTGAAAAAGGCTTTCAAGTCTAACAACTGAGGAGCTGGGGCAGTGATCAGACTTTACCATAGAGCAAACTACTTCCAGCACATAAAAGTTTACAAGGCCCAGGACTGAGCCACCCCAGGAAATCCTTGATCTCCAGGTATTCATCCTAGAGATCAGTACCTGGAGAAAGCAGCTGCAGAACCCCAGAAAATAAAAAATCAAAACCAAACCAAGCCCAGACATTCCCTCCAGACGCGTGTAGGGCCTGGCCCTAACACAAAGTCCTAGTTCATAAAATGAGAGTGGAAGAATGAGCGAACAATATGCCAGGCCATCAGAGAGGCTCTTGGCCACAGATTGATTATTATTTTGGGGGTGGAGGGCAGGGAAGGGAATAGCAGTTCTTAGAGACATTCTATCAAGTTACAGCGAGTCTATCATCTGAAATGATGGGGAAGATATTCTCCAGTAAAATCAAAGAGGTAGATCTGTGTGTATATATTGACAAATGCATACACATATATTGAAGTAAATATGTATGCTTATGTACACATAGAGCCAGGTTGGTGAAATAGCTAACAAGCTGGCCTTGGAGTTAAAGAGGACCTAGGTTTAAGGCTTATGTTTGTCATAGGATTTGTCATACCTATGTACATGTCATAGTGGAAGAAGATGTGGGTGCAAGTCCCACGTGCTAACTGACAGCTCCTTCTGGGGGCACATAAAGAAGTACCATCATAGAGAAAGAATACTGGATTTGAAACCAAGAGGACCCGGCTTCAAATCCCATTAAATCCTTCAAGCCCAGTTTCCCTCATCTGTTAAATGAGGATAACAAAACTTGTATTAGCTACTTCACAGGGTTATTGTGAGAGATCCTGTCATATTACAGTGCTATATAAATTATTCAGTTAGACTAGTTTATGCCCTTGGGGCAGACAGATAAATCCTGGTAGTTGCAGCTCAGAACAGATCCAGATTACATGTGGTACTTCCTGGGAGGGGAGCATAGACAAGGTGCTGGAAGGGAGGGGCAGGGAGTGAAGTGTACAGTGGGAGAAAATGGGCCAGGGTACACAGTGCACCATACATAGCATAGGCCCACCTCACAACTTTGCCCAGAGCTGACCCCATACTTATGTATTCTCGTATGCATATTACCCTGTACCCTCTACACATAAACTCTCTTACTTTTGACTTTATTCTCTTCTTCCAGCTCTGAAAATGGCATAAAAGAGGTAATACGCCTCCAAAAGTGAGCAATTTGCTCTTTCCAGGTAGGCTTATTTCTGTCAAAAATCAAGCTAGCACTATTAGTTTTAAGTTACTTCTATTCTAAGTTACTACTACATTAAATTTGGACTTTAAGCTCTAGCCCAGCAAAAACTGTTATTGCTGACAGTTGCCAGCTGACGATGAAAAGAAAGATTTTTCCTTGTTTGAACTTATTACCTGAAAGCTTCTCAGTAACTTTGCTCTTTATTCTTCAAGGCAAGATACATTTCCCCCTTTGGCATTAAAAAGGAAAGCAGAGCGGTTGTGTGCAAAACCAGAAACGATGTATTTTATCAACTTCAAAATTATCCCAGGGTTTTCTCCCACATCGTGTTAAATAATAGAAGCCTTTTTAATTGAATTTCTTTGTATGTACCATATGCTCCATGATGGCGTGCCAGCATCTTGCTGCAAGCAGCAAAATGTTCCTTATAAAAGCATTAGAATCCAGAGCGTCATTTTGTTTCAAAGACCATAGAACTGTGTAGCAGCATGAAACCACACAAAAAATACTGCCTTGGAAATGTAATTGTAGAAACACATTGTAGCTACCCCAGGGGAAATATTATAAATTATAGAACACACGCCTGCAAGCACACACAAACTCACAGAAAAAAACACCTTGTGGTTTAAACTCTATCCATTGAATTACAACAACGGAGTTTCTCATTACCCACCATTCTCTCAGTGACTTGTTTTCCCTTTAACAGACACTATAGTTTATAGGGTGTTCAACAGTGGAGCTTTCCTATGCCTATACATCCCACCAGTGCCTCTGTTCTAATTGTTTTGCTCTTCCCCCCCCCCAAGAATCCTAGAACTTCAGCAGAATGGAGACATGGATATACTGAAGCATAAGTGGTGGCCAAAGAATGGCCAGTGTGACCTGTATTCTTCTGTGGACACTAAACAGAAAGGCAGTGCCCTGGACATAAAGAGCTTTGCCGGTGTCTTCTGCATTCTGGCAGCAGGGATTGTCCTCTCCTGCTTCATAGCAATGCTGGAGACCTGGTGGAACAAGAGGAAAGGCTCCCGGGTTCCTTCAAAAGAGGTATTGGCTTAAGAGCTTCATCTTTCTACTGAGACCTTGCGTACTAGGACAAGAATTCCACCTCTGTGGCATTGTCTAAGATTTGCCAAAAGAAGAATCCTAAGGACTGCCTCATTAGAGTAGAGTTGGTGATAGAGGAATTATTTAGCAACAATGTCTTCTTACTTAGAAGATACTGAGTTAAATTTGCAAAGGTAAAATTAGCACCCAAAATTCAACTTTCTGTTTTAGGGCAGTCAAAGGAAATAGAAAGGATACTACAGTATTCTAAATATTGAAAATCCCATGTACTGTAAGTGAACTTTGAAATTCTGCCAAGCTCAGTGTAGCTTCTAATCTAGTGATTCTTGGAGGATCTTACCAAGTGAGGAATGTGTGTCTTTTTATTTGAATGAATTATACGTGTGTGAATAAATCTCTTAAGCCTACAAAACCTGATACCTACCCCTCTTCCTCACCACTACTACATTAAAGAAACATAATTAACATGCATTTTTCAGCACAAAGATGTGGAAGGTGGAAAACACACTATTTCCAATTATTGCATCCCCCTTTCTAGGACATAGACCTACAGGAAATGAGCTTTTGTTTTTATTATATTAGTTCCTTTTGCCAACTTCGCACTGGAATTAGAATTCCTTTCCCCCTTCCTGCAATGGTTATAATTGACCACTGTAAGAACCAGATTCATTTTTCAGTAATTACAAGCAGCTATAAAGATGCATGCAGTGCTTTTTAAAAGAAAAAAACAATCCTTGCTTCCATCTACATATTGCTTTTATATATATATATAGTATCAGAAAGAACCAAATGAGAGAAGGAAAATAGCTGAATATTCTACTTGTTTCCTCTAATGTCAAAGTAAAACATCTTTTTATAACAAAATTTCCAAATATACTAAAACATCATTAATGAACAGAAATATTAGATTGATTAAAATATGAGATTTGTATAATATTTCACAGAATTAAGTTTTATTACTTTTTAGTCATTTGAAGTAACTATGACCTTATAGGGGTATTTAGAGGACTTCCTCAAATGCATTGACAAAAGTGATCAATGATTCACATAGCAATTGTTTATACAAGTTTATTTAAATTTTTATTTTATTGTTTGTTTAAATGTGTCCTGAAGTTTTATGGGATCTAAAAAACAGATTTTCCCCAAATATTGCTTTTAATATCCCCCCCAATGACTTAGTCTACAAAACTAGTCATGCTGTTAATGAAGAAAGGGTTTTCTTAAACTAAGAAATATGTCAGCACAACTGAATTAGTGGGTTTTGAATTAACAAAATATTATTTTAAAATAGCTTAGCACCTAAGTGCTGCATCACAGCTGAGACTTCATCTTCTCTAAAAAAAAAATCTGGAAATGAAGGGCTCCCAAAATCCCCTTGTATTTTGAATTATTATAGGTAATATGAAATTTTTTGCATCACTACATCTGTTAATGGATGACTACATTTTAGCTGCTATAAGACCATCAGATTGCATTTCCCAGGCTCCTAAAATCTTACTAATAACATTACATTAACATGGTATTTTTATTGAATTTGGAAATGAGGAAGGAAGAGGAAAAATAATAACGCACATCAAAATAGCTGCCCTCTGGAGCCCATGACAGATAGCACAATAGGGAGAACTTTAACTGAGCTCTGTTACATGGCAGCCAGTAGAGAGCCCCTAATGAGGAGTCTCAGTTTTTCCTATTATGTTTGATTTTTTTAAAAAAATCATTTTGACATATTTTTACTATACAGGCCTAGCTAGAAAGTTGGTTGATGAAAAGAAGGATCTTTTTCCCCCTTAGGCATTTTCCCCACAGAGTACAAAGTACATATTCAGTGAACAGTAAGTTTTAAAATCTGATTTCATCCTTATTAATCTGAAGTTGCATTTCCAATAGTTCAAGGTGTCATAAATGTTTTAGAACTTGTTACACAAGGCTGATTCTATAAGTAGTTGGAACAAACTGTCACACTGTGTGATCTGAGGAGGATTCAAATGGTAGCTCTTTTGCCAAATTAGCTCAATTTAGGTGCTATAAATTCGACCATCAGAAATTTAGTTCTTTGGATTAAACATTCTCATCTCTAGCCATTCTTTAAAAGTCAAATACCCCTAGAATGGATAACACCTCTCATAAATTGAATTAATTAATTTCTAATGTCACTTTCATTTATAACAGGAAGAACTAGGGACAGCATACGGTCAATAAACACCTAGGAATAAGGGTCCCTCATTTGGAATAAAGATGCTGAAAAGGGAAGGGGGTAAACAAAGACAATTATACCTACTTCACAGTTTTGTTTACAATTGGCCCTGTTACGGTATAATAATCACCTGTCACTCCCACACCTTTGTAGTTAACATGCTAAATTATTACAAGTGAAGTATGTTCATCTTAGTGGAATTAATTGCAGAGAAATGATTCGCTAAAAGTATTCATACCCGAACTGTACTAAAATTTGGTTAATTCCATATGATATTTCCTGAACTGTTTTCTTAGGGTCATAGACACTCCCATGAAGTGGACTCCAGAGATAATGAAAGCTCTATCTTCTTTCTTTTTTTTTTCGTCCCCAGGATGACAAGGAAATTGACCTGGAGCACCTCCACAGACGTGTCAATAGCTTGTGCACAGATGATGACAGTCCCCATAAACAGTTTTCCACCTCATCAATTGATTTGACCCCTCTGGACATTGATACATTACCAACTCGACAAGCACTGGAACAAATCAGCGATTTCAGGAACACTCATATTACCACAACAACCTTTATCCCAGAGCAAATCCAGACTCTTAGCCGTACACTGTCAGCTAAGGCTGCTTCGGGTTTCTCATTTGGCAACGTGCCTGACCACCGAACTGGGCCTTTCAGGCACAGGGCACCTAATGGGGGCTTTTTCAGGAGTCCTATCAAAACAATGTCATCAATCCCCTATCAACCAACTCCCACTCTTGGGCTTAATCTTGGTAATGACCCAGACCGAGGTACCTCCATATGACCACCAGGCAAAGCTTCTTCACCATTTCTTTTTAGGACTCCCTTTGCAAGGAGCAAATGTAATATTGTGGGACTAACATGGATGTAACTTTTTTTAAAAACAAATCAGGATTATTAGTAACAGCTCTAGATCTTTCTCTTGACCATCTCGCTTTCTCTCTCTCTTTCTTTCTCCCTACCCATTTCCCTCCATTTTTTCCCTTAGTCACCTTGTTCCCCCAAAATATAGGACACTAGTATTCTATTAGTATGCTTTTCAGATACTGTACTTCAAGTATAGGAAATGTGCACTGAATATACTACAAGTATATGCAGGATTACTTTGACATAAAGGCCTCCACAATGTCTCTCTTTTCTAAAAAAAAAAAAATAATAAACTTGCAATAATTTCATTCTTTTTCTATTTGTTCTGCTGCATCCATCCAGTGCTTTGCTTCTGTTCTGTGTCCTTTAACTGTGGGCCAAAGGCAACCCCTGCAGTGTAAAAAAAGACCCTTCAGGCCACATAACATGAGAATGCAATTTTGTAGGACTACAAAAAGCCATCACTATGCCAGTAAAAACTACAGTTAAATTTATTCTTGCACTGCAACAGTGCATATGACCTTTATGTGATTGTACAGTATTAAAAAGGTTTCCTTATGTACAGTAAACTTTATCATGTGGCAGAAACCTGTCGTGTTAAATAAATTAGTATCTCATATATACATATATATGCACCTATATAATGTGTATATATATATATATATGTATATATATATATACACATATATATATATGTATATATATATATAACATGGTGGCCATTGCTATCGCAATTCATTTAATAAAGCTTTAGTTCAAAAAAAAGTTATGTTGTATACAGGAAAGATGTACAGTGAAGTGGGTCTTTTCCATTAGAAAAGGCAGGGCGTTTTCATGGGATTCTGACTTTCATTGTTTGCCAACTTGAGTATATATTATACTTTTTTTTTTGTTAGAACATCCAGGGCAATTTAGCATTTGTACCTAGATGTAACTCATTTGAATAGGTTTTGTATTTGTTATTCAGAAGTGTATAAAGCTAACCTTGATAATTTTGCTTTTAATTAATTAGATAAATGGAAAATGCTATTAGCTAAACCACATCCATGACAGCTAATATAGCTCTATAAGAGTTTAAACATAGATCATTGAAGGTTAATAAATTCTCTTCCAAAGCAGTAGACCAATCAATACAATAGCTATGTTAGTAGGAAGAAGGGGGAGCCCTTGAAAAATATTGATAGGGCCTTAATTACCGTCATATATTATCCTTTAAAAAAAAAACAGACCAGGCTCTCATTTTAATCCCTTTGGAATTTAGTTTTATTTAGATGAGCTAAGTAATTTTTACATTAGTGGCAAATGTATAGAAAGACAATAGCAAAAACCAGTGCTCCTTTGAGCACGACCCTTTTAAAGTCACATTCTTACTTGTTAGAAATGTAGAATGAGCTTTCAGTTTGTAATCCTTAAATTAAAATGTGGTAAGTAGGAAGCAAGTAACTTAATCCTGCATTTTTTTTTAATGCAGTCATACACTTAATTTAATCTGATTCATTCATGGCTAAGATTGATATAGGAATCAGCCAACGTGAATTGCTTTAGGAGAAATTTAAAAGTATATTCTTCAGATATATTCTATTTTGATGGTAATTCTGTTCTGGGGAGCATCTTGTACTGTCACTGTTTTTGTACTAAATCTTCAAATATTGTCTACTGTGTAAGGCAGAATGATTTCTTATCATGCACAGACCATTTTGTTTCCAGGGCAGCAAGACTCTAAGTGCATGCACAACTTGTCTTCCCTTGTAAAATCCATGATTTCATTCAAAAATCTGATTTTAAAAAAAAAGAAATCTTTACAAAAAGCTATCTAGGGACATACCAGATGTTGCAGTGACTTTAGTTATAAACAAATTGTAAACCATGTACAATATTTAAAAATAGGCCTATTTTGATGTGTTGCCTATTATACAAATACACAAAACACTTTTTGGAGGCCTCAGTTACAAGTGGCAGAGCTTTCTGTGTATAATTTGTCTAAATAATTTGTCTAATAAAATTGTTTTCTAAACTTGCTCTCATACCGTTGAAGTTCTAAATAATGTAAAAATTGAAAAGGCTCAATTTCTCCTGTCTCAAGCAAATGCTTTTAGAAAAATATACCCCGAGTTCTTTTAAGAACAGAATATATGTGGATATGAACCAACAGTGCTGTCAAAAAGGAGGGTTATGAGGCAACAAATACCAATGGTCCACATGGCAACTTAAGGAACATTCTTGTTTTGCAGTGCATTACAAACACCACATATGCTATATAGATTTCCATCTGCAAAGTTTCACTGTGGAGCAAGACAAAGATGTGGGGTTTGTTTTTTTAATCAGTGTGGGCAAAGCTACTGATTTAATGAAGTAGGACAAGAACCTGATGCGTTTACCATGCAGAAATTCAGGTCCTTTTTCAAAAATCGAATTTATTAATTTCCTTGCTACTAGAATAGCATATTTACCATAATTTATTCTATGTTATTTGTTTTTATTCCAGGATTTTTTTTCTGAACCAAATCATCTTCTTAGACAGCTATGACATTTTTACAGGTTTCTATAACCTATGGAAGTATATTTGAAAATAACTGCATACAATTTAATCTAAAACTTTGATTTTCTAAAATCCCCTAAAGCAAATCAAACACAAGACTAGCTGTATAAATTAAGAAAAATTGAAAATAGACTAAAAACTAACAAAATTCCTTCCATATGAAAGGTAAAATAACTTCATAAAGAGGCCAGAATCACAAGCAGTAGCTTTTAATCAAGCTAAAAAAAAAAAATCAAGAACCACGGAAAACACAGATCTATAGTTTAATGAGACTGTAGCCATCACAAACAATAAGGAACAGAGCAAACCGTTAAGCAAAGCACTAAAAGTGAAAACTTCTAAACTTTGTGCTAAATGAGACTCACCTTATAGTTTATAATCAATTTCAGAACTTGAATGTACCTCAAAAATCCACTAGTCCGAAACCCCTGAAAGGTTAGGAGGCCTGCAAGGCCACAGAATTTCTGACTCCTGGCTCAGTACTATTTCCAGTATGCCCAGTATACCCAGATATAAAAATAGGAATGCTAATACCTACCTCACCATTTCAACATGAAGCTTAGAACTGATGGAGGAAATATTTTGTTTTCCTTGAAACAAGTCCCTTCACTGCCAAATCAAGAAAGAAATCATGTTACTATAATCCCTACCTCAGATCTAATATATCTCGTTTCTGCTATATCTAATGAGAATCATAAAATCATACTCTTCCATGATTGTATTAATGTGACATACTGTCAGTTACTTCTAAGGCCCATGTTTAGATCTGTGATTTCACCAGGGTGGGAACTCTTACAAATCACAGACAATCCCTCTAAGCCTTAGATATAGTGGAAAGTAATTGTGTGGCTAAAATAATTACATTCCTGTGGCTGCCTACTGATGAAACAGATTGATAAACTGAGCCAGCATGGTCCTGGGATGCCCAGGCTCTCCCAGTCTCACATTCCAATTCTCTCTAGGTTGGTAGTAGAATCTGCCAAGCATGTGTTCCACCAGCACACCCCTGAAGAACTTAGGGTCACCTCCATGCCATAAGGAGGACTTCAGGGAGCACTTGAATAAATGAAGGGAGGAAAAAGTATTTATTAAATGCTACTATGTGCAAAGCACTGGGCAAATGTTAAAGGCTGACCAATTTTAGTGGGCTTAGTCACTTTTGAAAAGTAGACAAAACTGTCTTGAAATTTCTCCACTATTTCAGAATATGAAACTCTAAAATTGCTACTTGGAGACAGCTTGATTTTTGGAACTTTGTACCAAAAAAATTACAGGGAAAAAAAAATAAACTTGCTTTGTGTAGCACCTGATATAGCAACATAATCTATTATTTTCTTCGTGCTCTAGACAGATCTTTGAGGAATATTAAACATTTCAACATATTTTTAATACTTCCTAATGTTTTTGCTCTATAAAACTTTTAATATGGTAGAAAAAATCCACATTTCCAAATTAAAATAATAATAACTTTAAAGTTTATCAGGTGCTTTACAGACATTATCTGTTATGATTTTCATAATAACCCTGTGAGCTAGGTGCTATTTTTTTTTTACAAATGAGGAACTTAAGTGACCTCTCATTATCCTATTTTACTTATTATCTGTTTTATCACCACTCCATCAAGTTTTTTGCTACAAGAGGTAGAAACGATTTTTAGAATATATAGAAGAATAAATGTTTTAGAATTGGAACATTTAAAGCAGCTTTCTGAGATACTATCACTATACTATTAAAAAAAAAAAGGACTGGTAAAAATGAAAAGAGCCCTGAGCTTGATCACAATTTTCTGAATCTATGATTCTTATCACATGATTAAGACTTCTGAACACTAAGTCCACATTCTGTTTCTGAGAAGACTAAAAATATGGTGGAGATATGGGGCCAGTGCTGGTGGCCAAAGGTTGGGACTCAATCTGCTGATTTTCAAACTGTTATATGGAAAGCCAAGGGTACAAACCACTGCTAAGAATTTCCCTTCCCTTCTCTATTTATTTATGTATCATCCAACCCCAAAACATTCCCCTAAACAACTGCTTTTATCATAATTTGTGGTTTTAGCGTTTCCTATTAACTCTGCTAACAGGACTACAGGTCAAGAAACTCTTTTCAGCATTGGCCTCACTGGCAGAACCACTCACAGTTCCAAAGTATTTCATGACACATACTTAGTGAAGACTGTTTCCTACCAGACTGTCTACTTCTAACAATGGCCAAGTTCTACTTATCCCTGGCCATAAGCCCTAGGGCCTCTAGGACTCTTCTGCTCTGGCAAAGATGCAATGATCCACATCTCCTGTACTCTGTCCATGATATGAATTAACAATGGATTTGCCATAAGTAGGCAGCTGTACTGGCTGCCTACATAGCTATATACCACAATGGGTACAAATTAGTATGTAGTCAATGAAATAAACTCTGAAATTATGGAGCACAGCAGGTTCATAGCTGAGGGCCATAAGGTCATTTTCACCCACAAAGATATTGGAGTTTCATGAGGCAGTTCCTTTATCTTTGCATTGAAGCGATAATCCAAATTCTTGTGTTCCTCAATGTATAGCTGAAGCACCTTATCTTCTTCCCTCGGGAACTAATTTTTGAAATCTCAATTCTTTTTACCTTTTTTGGTTTGTTTTTTGTTTGTCATGTTGTGAAAGAAGAAACAAAAGGATAAAACTATAAAAAAAAAACAAAGAAAGTGAAAATAATATGCTTTGATCTGCATTCAGACTTCATCAGTTTTTTCTCTGGATGTGGATACCATTTTTCATCATGAGTCTTTTGGAATTGTCTTGGATCATTGTATTGCTGAGAAGAGCCAAGTCTATCATAGCTGATCATTGTACACACAATATTAATGTTACTGTGTACAACGTTCTCCTGGTTCTGCTCATTCTTTTTACCTTTAAAAAATTATTCTATGCTGATATGCATAACTACATCATTATTATCAACTAATTTCTAATAAGACTTTATAGTTAGAGTTTTAAAGAGCTTTCATGAAAACCTCATTTGATCTTCCCATGAACCTTGTGAGGTAGACAAAGTAGATATTATCATCCCTATTTTGCAGGTGAAGAGACCTAGATGGT